AGGATTCTGACTATTCTAAATACCGTACTTAAGTGGAACATAGCGTTTGTCTTTTTGTGACTGGATTATTTCACTTAATGTCCTCAAGGCTTATCCACACCATAGCATGTATCAGAATGTCTTTCCTTTTCAAGGCTGAATGAGACTCCATTCTGTGTATACACCACATACTGCTTATTCATTCATCTGTTGATGGGCCCTTGGGTTGCTTAAACATTTTAGGTATTGTGAATAGCGCTGCTATGAACGGGGATGAACAAATATCCCTTCAAGACTCTACTTTTGGTTCTTTTGGGTACAAACCCAGAAGCGGACTTGCTGGATCATATGGTAATTTGACTTTTTATATTTTAAGGAACCGCCATACTGTTTTCTACAACAGCTCCACTATGTTACATCCCTACCAACAGCGTACAAGGGGTTCAAGTCTTCCACATCCTCGTCAACACTTGTTAGTTTCTGCTGTCGCTACGGGTCATCCTAATAGGTGTGAGGTGGTATCTCATAGTTCTCATTTGCATTTCCCTAATGATTAGCGATGCCAAGCATCTTTTCATGTGCTTTGGCCATCTGTATTTTCTTCTTGGGAGAAATGTCTATCCAAGTCCTTTGCCCTGGGTTGTGTGTTTTTCCACGTTATCTATTTTATCAAACACCTACTTAACGCATACCATGCGCCAGGCACGGAACTCTGCATTACCCTAATATTCCGTGAGACTGCTTTTCTCATAAGAAGCCCAGGAACACACACACACACACAACCACAGGGTAAGGACTGGGGAAACTTGGTTCCTGAGTTCTTGTGTGTAATTTCTGGCTCTGCTGCCTTATAAAGGACCTCCACCCCCAGCAATTTCCTCCCAGTCTTCTTCGGCAAAACTTGGGACATTTAATTCCTCTCTACCACCTGAATGATCGTTTGGGGTCAAAAAGAGCCCTCAGAGTTGAAAACAAGGGGGCCCAGATCCCAGAGTTTCTATACCTGGGAGGCAGCCCATAATGCTATAAATTTAAGAAATTTGGGCTCCTGTTTCCCAAGAGGGCCAGAAACAGTTCTCCTACGGATCTAATTGTTTGTTCCATCCAATGTATTCTCTGCAAGAAACGTCTCTGGGAAAACCGAAGACACAGGCATAAAACTTTAAGATGTGTGAGAGTCATTTTGAGGATAATATGTTTTGAGGACTCCATGCCCAGGCAAATGTAAAAATATGCAGGTTTCCAATGACTAAGGATGGGCCAATCTCTGAGGTTATTGAGTAAAAAGTCAACACTGTAAAGTCAATTACACTATTGACAGATACTCTTACAAGGAGATTTCACATCATAATTATATGCAAAGGAACCCAGCAAATACAAGCTGTGTAATGATCAGCTAATAAAAGTAACACTTCATCTATGTCAATAACAGTTTCAGAGTTAAGACAAACAAACATGGCCTTTGCCACTCCATGGTGGAAAAAAAAATCCCTGAAAGACAAATATTTTCACTTAAGGAGAAGTCGCTTAGACTCACACAGAAAACCTGTCACATGAAGCAGAGTAGGAAATCAGTCTTTAGTGGGTACTAATGACTCTCCAGCCCTCCCTCCACACTCCCCCCACCCCTGCACTGATGGGGCAGTGGCGGAAATGATGAACATCCCCAGGAACCCTTGGTCACCGCCACGGGGTCTGGCTGCCATCTGCTGTTGTTCTCTTCTCCTGTGGACTATTTTCCTTTTAACCTCAGACACATGGTCACATTTTTAAAAATTTTTAAATTACACTGGATGTGAAAGAACAAAACAAATGCCCCTGCCCAAAGACTTATTAATGGGTTTTACAAAGACATTGGTTTTGCAAATAGCCCCCGTGGCTATGTTTATATGTACTCTTTCTGAAAGCATCTCAGGGCCCATTATTTGCCAGGCATGTGGGGCACGAAGAAGGCCAAGTATTCTGAGCAAGGGCACTTGATCTTACAGAGCTTGCAACACTCCTGTCCCTAATTCCTCTTAAAACTGAGCTGGAAGGTGTGGAACTCGTATTTGGATAATGCACTGCAAAAGCACCACGGTTTTCTTGACCGATTCTCTCTTTATGCAGACAGTAACCTGTCTAGTTTTGCAAACCAGCAGTTGCGCATTTCACTGAAAACTTCTCAGCATGCTCAGGAAGGTCACTCTTGGGCTACGCATGCTTTCCCAGTGGACAGACATCAAGCAAATGGTGCCGTTCTGAGGCTACTGTCACTCATCCCCGAACCCACCCTTCCACAGTGCTTTGCAGGCTGGGGCTGGGGCTGCCGCACCATCAGGCTCAACATTAGGCTCAGACCACAGGAGGTGTCCCGGAAAGACTGGGAAGGGGGTGGAGGAAGAAAGGACACGCCACTTCCCGCGTGTCTCCTCTTCACTGGAGGCAGCAGCTCATTCCTGTAGAAGCTGCTGAATCCAGCTCCTGCTCCCTCTGATGCTTACAGAACACGCTTCTTCACGTTCCCTTATAGGGCTTGCACCAGCAGGAGATCTTGGGATCTCCTGATATCCTTCTGGTCCTTCCACAGGTCCCTCCTCCCAGCTCAGAGACTCTAGCAACCCCAGTAAGGGCTACAGGCCAGAGGTCTAGATCCCTGCCACCAGCTCCTCTGCTGAGGTCCGAGCCCCACCTCCGCCAGGCAACCATCATAACCTCTTCCCTTTCTTCTCTTAGCCCCAGGGGATATGGCTGCGTCCAGCAACTGCTCTCCCCAGGATACCTGGAGTTCTCTTTTTACCCTTCCAGTTACTTGGTTAATAACTTCCTACCTGGCTAATGGTTCTTTACATGAAAGTCTCCCTGCTCGAACACTTAGTGTGGTTTTTGTCTCCTGAATGCACCGGAAACCTGTTCTGTGGTCTCTCACTGCGGCAGAGCCAAAGTGAGGTGCTTCCTGGACTGGAGAAGCGGCGACTCTAATGAGAGACAGGATGTCACTGTTCTACGGTGGTGCTTTGTTATCGCCTACCCGAAACATAACCGGGGGGGGGGGGGATCAATATTTTAAATAGTCCTCTGGGAGTACTAATCAGTATAGTGTATGCTAATACATATGTTACGAGGGTAATAACAAAAATTAGGGGCTGGCTCCTGCTTAAGGCCAACCTGGTCTTACGCCGGTGTCCCCGTGTGCCTGGCTCTCCCATGCTCTGCTCCAAGAAATGGCCAAAGCCACCTCCAGCTCCATCCTGGAGGGGGCTGAAAGAACGCTCAGGACGACAAACTGATATCTATGCCTGGAATCTGCTAACCGGGGCTGCTGTTCCATGAGAAACCAGTCTACAGTCTCAAAGTTCTGTCGGCCAAAACGTAAAGCGGGAGGTGAGGCCGAAAAGATTTTAAGCAAGAACAGAAAATGGAATATGTCTCTCTTAATAATGGGAGGCAAAGGCATTGGTACTTTGGCTTCATGGAAGAGGCTTTTCATTTGTGAACTCAGGAATTACTGATCTACAGATAGCCATGGAAGATACTGGAAAAGTACAAGAGAGAGACCCTTCCCATCTATTTTTGTAAAGTATTACCATGTTGGATTAGCAGAAATGGTATGTGGTTTTCTAACTTTATGACTATTTTAATTCCAGCCAGATTCCCTCTTCATCAGGTCCTAGACACCAGTGTCTGCCCTGAAGATCGGAGGACCTCCATCCTGGCAAGAGTAGGCTGGTTTGCCACAAGAGCGGGAAAACTTCACGTGGTTGCTTCACATGAGGGAGCTCGACTTTGCATCTCCCTCAGGCCCCCTAACAGACTTTCTGGGCTGGTTTCCTTTGGGACATGAGACACTATGAAAGGGAAATGGCTTCCAGATGCAAACTTGATCCAAAAGTGCAGAGAGTGAGCAAGGAGAGGAAGCTGTGGGGGGCACAGCTCAGGGCGACAGGCCTTCCGAGCGAGAGCCTGGGCCCGATACTGTGCAAATGTGAGGAGTCATCAGCCATCAGCCAAGTGAGTGAAAGCCAGCCTCTGTCTATGGCAAGAGAACCACTGAGAGGAGAGGATGACACAGAGAGGAATTTTACCACAGGGTCACCCATCAAAGGGCCACAACCAAAGTATGGGGCTTTTAAAGTAAAGAGAAATCCAACGAGGGTGGCTCAGAGGCCACGTTCAGAAAAGCTTTGTGAAGCAATCGTTTTTGTGATGGACCTTGAAGGAGGTGCTGCTTTGCATGAGGTATCTGAGGCAGACTCAGTTGCCTTATCCAGTTTCCTCTGTGTGGATAAGATGGGCCAACACTGGACACCTTTGGGGAACAAATCTGACTCAAGGAGATGGAAGGACCAGGGTGATGTCAGACTGATGTGTGGGAGTCATGGAAGGTGCTTCTGCAGACAGCCAGAGAGGCACATTTTAGGAAATCAGTCTGGCAGTGGCTGATGGGTGGGCGGCAGTAGGCAGAGAAGCAGCAGGAAAACAGAAGGTGGCATCCACAGTGGCACCTGTGAGGGGTCAAAGCTAGCGAAAGACCCTAACCCAGGGCTGGCAATGGAGTAGGAAGCATGGAGCAAAGCAACTTCCCAAGGAAGAGTCCATGTGGCTTGGCAACTGACCTGATTCTTGGAAGAAGGGGAGTGATGCCTCCTGTTATTTATATTATATCCCACTTACCAAAGCACTTTTCACACAGGATTTTGCGTTGCATTCTAGAGGTAGACCAGTTGGCCTAGAATCTAATGAACAACTTGCTCACCACTTCCTTTTCCCCACCTTGCCCCACCTTCTTAGAACAAACACACTTAATTTGTCTTCATCTCCTTATCTGCCAAGACACCAAGATAATCTGAGCCCAGGAAGAGAAGCTGGCACCTGGACTGGGGTCCCTGGTAGTTACTCTGACTTTTCTGAACACCCAAACCAGGTTACCCGTCTTCACTGTTTAGAGGCCCAGCCTCTTCATCCCAAGTGACCCCGGGGGAAACAAGATGATGCCCTACCCACTCCTTAGGCAGGCTTTGCCTAGCGAGTGTCTCCCTTACCTCACAGCTGCCGTCATTCCAATGGGAGTGATTGGCAAAGGCCGAACTCCAGGAAACAGCCCACGGCTCAGAACCCGTGCTCCATTTTGTATCACTCCTGGAGGAACTGGAAAAACAAAAAGGAAAAAGGCACCGCACATGAGTTCAGCTGTGAAGATTTGTGTTTTGAGTCAGAAACTTTGGACACACCAGAGAGAAAGAGAGGGAAAGGGAAACTGAAAGAGAGAGAAAGTGATTATTATTGGCATAGAGAGTGAGCAGAGACAGAGAGAATACATGTGCGTGCTTCCACGTGCACGCACACACATACACACACATGCACACAGGGAAAGAAAGATACCATGCCTCAAGAAAGAAATTCAGTCAGCCGTGTCAGACCAATACCTTACAATCAAATTACTGATGCACTGGTTTAGAAAAGGGTGAGTATTAAAAAATGTGCTTCAAACATTATTTTCTTGCATTTAAATACAAGCTTTCATCTCCAGTCAGACCCTAACAGGATCTCAAGAACACTGACAGAAGTCTGATAGCAATGACCAAACAAAAGCATTTCCTCATGCTTCCCCGCTCATGGTCAGAAGCTGAGAACACCTTTCTATTTGTCCTTAATCCAGCAAGGGAAAAAAGAGCCAAAATAACGGCAAAGCTGATTTTACAAAAGCTACTTGGCATGCTCACCACACAGTTCATGCTCAATGATTTCTGCCGCTGAGGAAAGACCCCTCCTCAGAGGGTTGTTAAGGGAAGCTCTGGCTCCTACCTCAGAATCATGCAGAGCCCACTTGGGACGGCCCACTTCCTCCTTTCTCGAAGCTTCTCCTGAGCAAATCTCCCAAGAGTTCTCTCATCATCCCATCTTCTCCTAAATACCCTCGTCCCTGGTAACCCTAAGTGAAACTTTTTGCCAGTGACCATCGGATCCCGTCTGTTTCCATACAATCCTACAGCGGCCTCACACCTGTCTGAGAAGTCATGCAACAGGGAAACCACAGGAAGTCCCTGACAGTCCATCTTTTTCAAGCTCCCAAACAGCAGTTTCATTTGGTTCAAGCTAATATTCTCACTGTACTACCAATTCTCCTCCCTGTGTCCACGGGGCCAGGCGTGCCTCAGGAAATGAGAGCCCTGGTGCAGGGCTTGGAGTCTTAGCTTTCATCTTAGTTCCTCTTGTGTGACTTTGTGCAAGTGACCGAAATCTCTTCTTCCTTCTCTGAACAGTGTCCTGAGTCCCCCGAGCTCTGGCTGGGCTCATACAGCCACTGGCACTAGTCATGCACAGGCAAGGTTGATAAACCAGGCTTTCCCAAACAGAGGCCACACCAAAAAGGATCTAGAAAATTATACATTCAAAAATGAAAACCCTTCTGGATATTAAGTTCTTAATGCCCATAGAGTAGAATACTCCTTACAAAACGCAAACACTACTTTCTACTCCTATAAATTTTAGGCTTCTAAGGGAATGTTCACATTAATATGCCACACCTTCAACAAGAGGTCCCTCATATAGGATGAATGTCTACTCCTGAATATGGAGTATATAGACTGATTCCTCGAGAATTCTGTGGCTCTTACTAATATTTTTGCTACCTTTTTTTTTAATAGGTCTGTGCAAAGCCCTTGCCACTGGGTTTTCTAAAAGGTAGATGGGAGACAGAATTAAAACTAGTGCCCAAAGTCAATAGTCCCAGTGCAGTCCAGTGGTCCAGAATCTTCCCATTCTCCTACCCTATTTAACTGTGACAGTAGGTTGAACTAGATCAGAAACTCTTACCCGTGTCCCTTACCCTGATTTCAGACAGCAGATCATCTGAGACGGGAGACTTACCAATTATCTTAGAAGCATGAAACCTGTATAATGTGATACTCTTAGTAAGTATCCTATTTTGCTTAGCTGGTAAGTCCTAAGGAAGAGGCTCTACAATTTATATTAACTGACTTAACATTACTGATTTCAAGACATCCTATAGAGCTATGAGACAGAGTAGGATTAGTGTCAGTAGAGATCTATCGATCAAGGAAGAACACAGAAGTCAGAAATAAATCCACACATACACAGGCAACTTGATTTTTGGTGGAGTTATCAAGACAACACAATGGGGGAAGACAGAACAACTGGAGATCCATTTGGGAAAAAATGAACCTTAGTCCTTACTTCAGGCTATACATGAAAGTTACTTAGAAATGGATCATAGATATAAAAACAGGAACTAAGATTATTAAGGCTTTTAAAAGAAAACCCAGGAGGAAAAATACCCATAATTCCCAAGGACAGACACACAAAAATCAGGAGAGCTCTGGGGTTTGCAGACATGTGCTGCGGGTAGTTTGAAAAGAGAGGCTTTTGGTTTGTCTGTTCTGGAGACCTTGGCAAAGGGTTTTTTCGGTTATTTTTCTGTATGACAGTCTCTTCAAAATGGCCCGACAGCCACAGGCTGAGTTCAATTTTGATAATACTATTGAAGACAACAGTTACTAATGATCTGATTCAGAACAGCAAGACAATCTGACAGAAAGGACTACTTGTTAAAATAATTTAAAAATTTAAAATTGATAACCACAGTTATAATTCTCGCCAGCAAACCATGACAGTCCCATATATGGACTGTATTGATTAATGGACTAGCATACCAAGTGCCTGCTTAGGTATTTGGTGAAGGGGACACAGGGTCGCTACAGTTAAGCGGGACAGACAGAGAATTAAAGAGGCAAGGGAAACACACCATGGTAGGTGCTGGGGCCGGGGGCCTGTAGGCACAGAAGGATGGAGACACCTGACCTGTAGTAAAGGGTCCCTGGGAAGACTTCCTGTAGAAAGGGCCATCAAAGGTGGCATTCCAAGGCAGAGGAATGGCACACACAAGGCCTGGAAGTAACAATGGCAACGTGCACAAGAACAAAAAGTAATTTTGTTAAAGTGTGTGATCGTCTGCAGGAATGAGGTCCTTTGGGCTTTGCCCCATGGGGACTGAAGAAACCATTAAAGGGTTCTGAGCAGAGACGTGGTACAGAGTGTAGTGGCTAAGAGCCAGACTCTGGTGTTGAAGGCCCTGGGTCTATGTCCCATCTCTGTCATTCACTGCCTGTGTCTGCTGAGTGAGTTGCTTCAGTAAGAGGATGGGGACAGAAATGGGATTTATCCCACAGAGCGGAGATTTCACGGAGTTAATAAAGGCACTAATGTTAAGAAAATACATCTCGGCCGTCAATATCAGCACCATCATCACCACCACCACGGTCCTCAGAGCACCCCGAGGCAGCCTGTGCTGTCTCTACTCCCCGTGAGCCGAAGTCCGTAAGAACAGAGGGAGGCAAACCAGAAGGTGCCAGAACTTAGCCATCTTCCTGGTCACGGAGCGCAGCTGGAGTGGCAATGACTGCTCTCACCAGTGCTTCTGCTCCCATTGTGGAAATCATGTCAGGGTCACCCCTGGGGGAAAAATGCCCGAGACACCCAAAATCCTGGGACAACGACTGGGGTGCCCTGGGAAGTGAAGACAGCAGATGGGAGTCACAGAGCACAGGCTCTCCGGACTCCGACATGGCCAGTGAGTCATTCGCCAGTCAAAGAAGAAAAGCAACCCCAAGAACACTGCCCCAAGCCCAGAGTCCTCTGCCCAAGTGCCTAGAACCTTTAAGCCCCAAGGCCATGCCCAACAGGGAGGGGAACAAAGAAAGGAAGCCAGTCCTCAGTGCACACAGACTGAAGCCCAGGGTCCACTGATGCGTCTCACCTCATTTAAGCCTCCATGGAGGAAGTGCTGTGCAGTGGATAAGAGTACAAGCTCGGGGCAACATGGCTTCGTCTCCACTGAAGTCTTGTCCTACCACTAGCTCCGCAGTTTTGGACAAGTGCCCTAACCTTCTTGTGCCGCCGTTTCCTCACCTCTAAACTTGGCATAAACACAGCTCCTAGGGTGGTTCTGAGTATTAAATAGGAAGACTGATGTAAACTGGTCTATTCTGTAAGCTCATTATCGCCATCTTGTCCATCCCTCCACCATCCCACCCATCCCTCTAGCATCTTCTTACCAACGATCTAGAAGGAACAGAAGCTAAGGAAGGGTGTGTCAAGACAGGGGGACATTCTTCTAGCCTTTTATGCTTTTTGTTATCCCCAAATCTGCACGCACCCACTAAAACATCCTCCTGATTAATGAAGTGTGTTCACTTCAGAGAGAATCTCATGGACAAAGCTATCCCGCCGCATTAAAAGGCTTTCCCCGAGCTATTTCCTGAGCCTCGCAAGACTTCTGGCACATAAACTAGGCTCTTCTCCTGACTCCTGGAGTTTGGTCTCAAATGAGCTGCAACCGAATGCGGCTTCTGCCAGCCCTGGCACTTCTCAGTCCTTATCACTGGCAACGCTCTCCATGTTGGGATGACGATGTGTTCGTATTTGCTCACGGGCTGCCAGAAGCCAGCTGTGGCACTTGACTATTCTCCCATCTTCCCTCCTTCCAGTCTCCATCCCTAAGCCTCAGGAAGGAGGCTTCTGAAAAACGAATCACAGCCAGTCTGAAACGTCTGAGAAAGGCATTCTGAGGTCCATATTTAACTAGTCTTAGGTCTGGGGGACTCGGAAGGAGCGCAAATGCATTCCTCAGCCCTTTTCCCGTGGGCAAGCCTCCCTTCCTGCTCCTCTGTATTGCCCTCAGGGTAAACCAGGACACCTCAAGACCAAGCCCTTTACAACCAGCCCAGCCCACCCAATGCCCTGAAATGGGTCCCTCAGCTCTGGCTGAGAAGGGATGTGGTGAGAAACTGGACATGTCCGGTGCAGGCCTCCAGCACCATCCTGTGCTGTTAGAGCAACTTAGTATTCAGCTTTTACTTGCAAGAAGACATGAGCCAGAGATGCTCGAGCTGCTGAGAGGAGGCGCCAAGGACAGGACCCCCAGAGCTCCCAGTTCTTGCCAACTGACCACTTTCTCCCATGCTACAGAGTGACTTGAAATTTCTTTATTTTTAACCAGAAGATGGGAACCCACACACAGAGAGCTGAGCCCAGCAGCACTGCTCACCGTGATCTAACCGTGATCACCTTGGAACCTAAAAAAACGTCGATGGCACAAGACAGACTTCCCCCCAGGCTCCGCCAGCGCCTCCTCTCAGCAGCCCATCCCGGCTTCCTCAGCTTCCCTCCTGACGCTCCGCTTCCTTGATTTTCACAGCTTCTAAAATTAACCTCGGAGCTCCTACTGCTGCCTTTGGAGGGCAGCCCTGGCTAATGCTACCAGAGGCCATAAGTTGAGCAGCGAGTGATACCGATAATCCTTCCCCTTCCCGAAGTCGGTCTTTCCACCTGCTTACTTGGAAGGATGCTGGGAAAGGGGTTGGAATGGGGGAGCCTACGTGCTGGTCGCCTTTCTTCTCCAGTGCCTGGCGTGTTGGATACATACCCTACTTCGAGGCAGGGAGCGGAACGCCGCCTCCATCCCTCCCCTCTGCTGTCCCGTTTTGTTGTTCTGTTTATGATCCAGAGTTCCTCTCTGGGAACATTCCAACTAGGGCTTATATAAGCCTTTGAAGATGAGTAATGGTGATCTGACTTCATAACAATCCCTCCATGGAGGTTACAGATGACCCCCAGGGCTTTGAAACTGCAAAGCAGGTACTTCTGTGGACTCTAGAAGCTGGAATTAGTCTCTTTTAGCCACTTTTATCAGTGGTTTCGGGGGCGGGGGGTAGGTGGACGGACCTGATGAGCAGCATAATCTAAAATTCAGAGCTAACGAGGCAGCAGTGCCCTGTGCTGAATTTTCTGGAAGTAGTGTTCTAGAGCCCATGCAAGACAGAATAGCACACCTCAAAGATAAAGGGGCTTGGCTGACTGGAATTCTCACCAGCTTCTTGAGAAGCCTCCTTTGTATGACCTACTCAGCTCAGACTGGATGGTAGCTGGTCTGCCAGCCCCGAGCTAGCTTTGCAGAGGCTGGGCCCCGGGACGATGAGAGGAACCCATCCAAGTGGCTGCCATCTGGTGACCTTAAGTGGAGTGGCTATGGAGGTCGATGGCAAAGGAAGAGCCTTTCAAGCCACCCGGGGCACCCTTTTACGGCTGAAGTGACGGCAGCAGACAGACCAGGCTGGAGGCCTCTGTTCAACCAGGGCATCGCACAGCCCAGGAGGGGAAAACAAGGGGCTATAAATAGCAGCACACGAGGAGGCTCTGTAAGCAGAGCTTGGCCACAGCCCAGGCTGGGAGCTGAACACAGCGTGCTCCATGCAGATGCCAGTCCGTGCTCACCACGTGTGGGCAGAGGGGCTGCGGGAGCCCGGCTGCCATGCACACGTCCCCACCGGGTCTTGCGCACACAAACACCACCAGGCGGGCTGCCCATCCTCCAGCACGGTGGCTGGGGGTGGGGGTGGGTGCTGCCTTGGAAACTTTTTGGTGAGGAATCACCTCCCACTTATTCCAGGCCTCGGGCATGCTGGCAAGGCAGGAGGACGGCACGGCACAAGGCATTCACAGAATCTCAGGAAAAGCAACGTGACACAAGTAAAATGAAAACAAGGGGGAGGGAGGGGGAAGAGCGAGCCACGACATACTAAAAGAAGACCAAGGTCCCAGGATAGAAACACACACCTTGGACCGGTTTACCAGGAGGCTGACCAGCGGCTATCTGGCTTCCCAAGTGCACCCAAGTGCACACAGCAGACACTCACTGCCAGCCAGTTTACTTCCTTCCCCTCCAGTCCTACTCTCATCTTCAGGGGCCTGATTCTGGCCTGTTGATCAGTGTCTAGCTGGACCACTAGGGGATTTTACTAGAGACTGGGGCCAGATGGAAAGGTGAATACAAAGATAGTCTTCCATCCTCTCCCCTAACTTCACACTGATTTCTTGGCTGCTCCTGCCAATGGGCTCTCCTTCCATGACTTCTGGGGGCCTCCTGATTCCTTCCTTTCTGGAAGGACCCTGGAGACCCCTTCTTGGCGTAGGGCCTTCATGATGGCTGAGGCTGGACTTCTCACAGTGGTGAAGACCAACATGGGAAAAAAGCCTTCCAAAAAGGACCCTACAGCTTCAACACATTAACACTGAGCATTCAAAGCTCAACTTCAGTATTTTCACATAAGACAGACTATGGATACCTTGAAAAAGTAATTATTTAGAGTTTGAGTGTTCTAGTGAGGGAGTGGGGAGAAGTTCATTTAGCCACGAGAGCATTATACAAACCATTAATTTGTCAACTAATCAAAATCAGTCCTGTTCCTCTTCTACCTGGGCTCAAGAATTCAGTAACAATGGGCTTTCATGGAAGCTGTGCCCAATCCCCTGCCTCTTTCCCTCTTAACTCCATTGTTCTGGCTCATCAAAAGCATCTCTCGAAGCCCGTGATCACTGTGCGCCGTGGCCGGGAGCTAAGGAAGATGCTGCAGAACTTGCACAGCTCGGACAAGAAAATTGTATTTTCCTCATGACAAGTTATGCAACCTGGTTTTGGAAACCCTTTCAGACGGTAACTTGGTCACAATCTGGTCTGGACGCTTCCTGCCATGTCCTCTGAGAACGGAGTTTTTTGTTTTGTTTTGTTTTTCAATTTCTCTGTCACGTCAAACATCATTGAAAAACCACATCACAGGGGAACTGCTAGTTACTGGACTGTACTAGTTCTACCAGTGCTTGGCAGTGGTGCCTGCTTTTTGGCGAGGTGGGCCGCCTGACCCTTCCGTTGCTGGCGATCCGAGTTTAGCAAAGAAAGAATGGGAACTCTGCACCTTTCAGAGCACGTAACAGTAGCCCCTGCCAGAGGAACAAGTCTCTCTTGAGAATGGGTGGCCGCATCCCTCCGGTCTTTTAAAAGAAGGAAGGAGAAAGGATAGAGCCAAATTCCCTCAAGCTCTGGGGAAGGCTGTGGCCCAGGGAGGGCTATGAAGAATGTCCTAGAATTCCACATCAGTCCCCTACTCAAAGAAGCCCCCAAGAATGGATGTTCTCTGATGTAGGGGGGATTCCCTGACTCAGGAGGCCAGGCACCCTTCAGGAAGCCAGAAGGTCCAATTAGCTGAAGGCCCCGGCCCCTGGAGGGTGCTATGGTAGGGGTCTGCTATGTCTTGTTACCAACTCCGACCTGTGTGTTCTGTCAGCGGGAGTCTGCAATGCAGCAAAGTCCTGAGCAGACCCTGGCAAGTGAGCTGGCCATCTGCTCAGCGGGCTTCCAGCTGGGGGGAAAGTGCGGGCAGAGGAACCAGATTCCCGTCAGCAGGAGGAGGAGACAATCCTCTCCATTTAAAGTCATCACTTGGGAAGAAGACCTTTCTAAAACCACACTACTCTAGGCTCTAGAGGTGGGAAAAAACAGGAGGCGGAGGATAGGAGAGAAGTTCAAGGGAGGAAAAGAATGGTCTCAAGCTTGACATTGCTCAACGGCCAACAGACGGTGAAGACAAGAGGCCTCCTTAGTTGAGTGAGGCCTGCCCCTCTCCACGACAGCCTGGAGGGCTGGTGGGCTTGACACACAGGGGCACCCACGGTCCATTTCAAGGCCACCCCGAGCTCCTGCAAACCCACCTGCCACCTCTCTTCTCTAGCTGTAAAATGGTAGCCTGCTATCAATGAGGTCCCCGAAGGGAAAGAAATTTCTAGAAATATGCACTGCTCAGTTCCTTAACTCTTAAGCGGGCCCCACATAGCCTTGTCTAGCAGAACCTACCAAATCATGGGAACTACTCCTGCCGGAGAACGGAAGTTCTCTCCACTGGGACTCATTACTGGGTCCACTTCCCTTCCCCCAAGGCTCAAGCCCTGAGATTATATAAAAACTCTGTCATCTCAGAAACACACCGATCCACTCGTTCACACGTATGCACGGCAGCAGGCTCGCACGCGCATGCGTATGTGATCGTGCACTAAGGTAGTTTTGGAGTGATTCTACAAGGGAAGTTCTGCTTGAGCATTAGTTCTTCCTATGGCCTGGGATATAGAGGAGAAGGTTAAGTTCACAAACTATGGCGCTGTAGGCTATAGAAATATCTACTCACAACCTGCTTGTATCTCAGGGGGAGTATTCAAAAGCATCATGGCACTGGCAGCATCAATGTCAGGATCTGGAAAAATCAACCAATAAATAACATTATTTACAACGGGGCCGGTGTGTGCACGTGTTCTTCCCCCTGCAAGCTACAGTTCATGAAAGCAACAGAGGAAAAAAAAAATCCAGGAACTAGATGAGCTATCCCCAAGGTGACTTTCTTCCCACGTGGATTTGAGAGGAAGAAAGGGATTCTAGAATGAGATTTAAAGGGAAGGTTGATAAGTTTTTCAGACAAAGCATGGTCCCCCCTCATTTTGCTGATTTCATAATTGATAGGCTGCTGACCTGTGCACCCCCGGAGCTTGCTCCCCTGGCACAGGGGAGGAAGGGAGTGGGGTGACAACAGGTTTAGCTCTAGGAATCTTTGAGGAACTGGGGAAGCTCACAGCACCAAGAAGAGAAAGCCCTAAATATACCTGCATCTAGAAAGCTACACACAAGACGTCCGGGCATTTCCGTCTGTCAGCAGAATGCAAATTGTGTTTTCCGAGACTGTGTGTATGTGTACAGTGGTGGTGTTGGTGGTGGAGGCATTTAAACAACAACAACAACAACAACAACAACAACAAAGACAGGAAAAAAAACTGCACTTCTTAAAATATAAAGAAAAAAATTAAAGTTATGATGTTGAGGGCACAATGTTGGCTTCCACATCTATTATTGCTTTTAATACGGGACAAAAAAAAAAAACCCTCCTCACTCTGTTGCTCTAATTCTTAATAGGTTTCTGAATCCTTCCTGATCCCCCAGTTGACAGATGGCAGGTTATATAGAGACAGAGAAAAATATTATCCTTTTATAACTAAATTCATTTTCCTCTGAGAAACAGCGGCGCCGCTGCTATGGAAATGAAAGTTGCCATGGCAACAGTAAACAACCCCCAAGAATGGTCACTGAATAGGCTGAAAAGAACATCTGCCCCAGCGCAGCGTCCCAGCTGCCCTGGGGCGAGACTCGCTAATGGTGCGGTGCCGCTGCGTGGCCGCGCCCCGCCTGTGCCCTGTCCAAATAAATGAAGTGTGCAATTGAAGTCGACATCAAAAATGCCTGCCTCTGCAGATTACTACCTCGGTGTCCGCTAAACCCAGTGACTAATGATGGGGGGACAAGGGGGCTCTCACTTGTCAGTTTTTGTACAAATTACATACCAAAAAATTCAATTTACTACTAATGGCTCCGCAGCACTTTATTTGGGGTATTATGCTAGGAAATGACTTTTTTACTGTTTAAAAAAGTGCATTTTTCATACTCTCTATGTGCAGTTTAATTCCGAGGGAGTAATGTGATGCAGCATAAAGTCCCACAAGCGATTAATAATGAGGATGACGCTGGTTCTAGAAAACAATGTCTCCAAAAAGGGTGATGGCTAGGGGGGTGGTGGTACGGAGGAAAGAAACTTTACTCTGCAGGCCTTTTTCGATTTTGCCTGCAGGAGGCCTGTTACTTAAACTCAATAATGGAGTGAAGGTTTATTTTAATAGTATGGTGTATGAGAAACAGGTAAATTAACTTATTTGGCAACTCCTGGGATGAAATTCCTAAAACAGTCATCATTCCCCACTGATATTAAGAGATATATATATATATATATATATATAACTATATATATATTTTAGTTGAATTGCAAGACTTAAGGTCCCAATCACGGCTCTCAGGGTTCTTGCTGTCCCTATGCCCTTGCCTCCCCACACGGCCTGTTGCCAAGAGGCAAGGCTCATAGCTTCTGTAAGACACTGCTGAGGCCTTTTCCCACCCCACATTTTGGAAAGGGCCCCTTCCTCTCTCAGGGCTGAGAAAACACACACCTGTTTCTCAGCAGAGCAGAGCAAAGGTTCCTTACCATTCGAGAATAGAAATGTTGCCGGCAACCAGGGTTGGCCAGGCTGCATGGTGCCTGCCTCCCCAGGTAACTCTTTTTTTTTTTTTTTTTTTTTAAGATTTTATTTATTTGACAGAGAGAGATCACAAGTAGGCAGAGAGGCAAGCAGAGAGAGAGAGAGGAGGAAGCAGGCTCCCTGCTGAGCAGAGAGCCCGATGCGGGACTCAATCCCAGAACCCAGAGATCATGACTTGAGTTGAAGGCAGAGGCTTAAGCCACTGAGCCACCCAGGCGCCCCTCCCCAGGTAACTCTTACCCAGACTTTTCCTCAACAACCAGGAGGTTCGATGGGGACAGAACAAGAAAAAATACAGGTTAAAAAAAAAAAATTCAGGAGACTTTTCCTATTTGTTTCCCCAGAAAAATTAAAGAAAGTGGTTCTTTATTCTTCAAAGACACATGGAACCACAGGAGGAAGGTGTAAAGGGCCACACACAGACATAAGGAAAGAAACAAGAAGGAAGAGAAAGAGAACCTTTGAAGGAAAAGAGTATCATCAACGCCCACATGAACTTCGCAGAACCTAAGGGGCAATGTGGAAAGTGCTTCAGACCCACAAAACATCACCACGACCACCAACCCCATCCCAGCTGAGCCAAATTGACACATCAACCAACTGAAAATAGGACATTTTAGGACGAGTCCCCCAATTCTTCCTTCCGCCCAAAGAGCTGTGCATGCCCGAGGCCTCCACAGACAAAGATTCCCCTGGCACCTTGGCATTCACAGAAGGTGCCACACCCAGTCTTGCCGAGATCTCATTCATGATCAATCCCTATGGCCTCACTCTGCATTCTGAATGGACCAGTTCCTATGCGGTATTAAGCCCAGACACGCAGCCCCGCGGGTAGAATGGGAAGGGAGAGTAGGCATGGGACACCCTCCTCTTGACGTCTTGCCCTTGGAATTAGCAAACACGCAAATGCACACTGGCATCACGGGGGCGGGGGGCTACACAGGCCCAAGGAAGACACAGGGAGTGCCCTCCCGGGTGTACAGTTTGGTGAATTTTATACCAGGGTAACCATCACCAGAAGGAAGACAGAGGGCACAACCAAGATACAGATTTCCATCACACCAAAGTTTCCTTGTGCCCCTTGCCTACCCACCCTTGCCCCGGGCAACTCCTGGTTGGTTTTCTCTCTCTTCCCGATGGCGCGCCAGCAGCTTACTCCTTACTCCATCACTGAGCAGTATTCTGCTGTGTGGGCAGAACTACGCTCTGGTTACCAGTGCACCTAGAGGAGGACATTTTGGCCATTTCCAGCTCGGGATCTTATAGAAGCCCCCATGAGCTTCTGCATCTGTCTTTGGTGAACATGTGTCCCCTTCCCTGCTGGGAAGAGCATGTTTAACTTTACAGGGGACTGACAAGCTCTCTTCCAAGGAAGCTGGACCATGTATGAGAATTCCAGTTGTCCCACACTTTTGTCAATACTTGAAACTGTCAATCTTTCACATTTTCTCCCCATCCTCATAGCTGTGTAGTGTCATTCACGGTGGTTCTGATCTTTATTTCTTTCATGACAAATGAGGTTGAGCGTCTCTTTATGTGCTTAATGGCCACTGGGGCATCTTCTTTGACGAACATTCTGTTCAAGTTTGTGCCCCCCGCTTAATTGGGTTGCTTAACCCAACTGTAAAGTTGTAAAGTTCCTTAAACATTCTGGATAGAATCCTTTGTTACATATATTTTTTCCTCAGTCCATGGCTTCCCTATCCAGTTTCTTAATAGTGTCTTTTAAGAAGCAAAATTTATGAACTTCTTTTACAACTCAATGGTTTCTTTGCTCCAACTAAGAACTCTTTGCCTACCCCAACGTGGCAAAGATTTCCCTCCTGAGCAGCTTCTTTTTGAGTCTCAGGTGTCAGTGTAACATTATCTGGGCTCCATACTCAGATTTACAGGGAAATGAACATGGATGTCGTCAACCAGAACTCTCTTCATCCGCAGACTGAGAACGGGACAGATCAACACCAGAAAGACCCGCTTGGGCTCCAGGTGGGTTGGGAGAATACCAGGCAGCCTGAGAGACGATTTGGTCCACCACGTTTCTGTGGAAAAAGGTCTCTCGGACCTGTGGCTAGACATCGCCATGCCCTGATGTTCGTCACACCCCGACATCCTGTGTGTGCCTCAGAGCTCACACCCTGCCATCCCTCCTCCCCAAAGAGATGCCACGATGCTTAATCATCTACCTACTATTTCTCAGTTTTCTTCCCTTTTTAAGAAAATACGAAGGTAGCATGTTAAGAAAAAATAAACACGAGGTGGATATAATGTGAGAAATAAATGTCTTCCCCGTAGACCCATTCCCAGATTCACGTTTTCTCCTACAGATGTCCAGAAGTGGGCTACACAGATACAGACACTTGGGTGAGCTCACTGATGGGAGGCATTTATACTCATGCACATATACTGACTCTTTAAAAAGGGGTTTATACGGGAAATACTTTTCTGCCATTTTTTTCCTTCAAGTTTTCACTAGGTAATACATCTCCGCCACCTTTCGTATTCATATACATTATCTGAAGTTCTTCTATGGTGATTTTTTCAAGCATAAAAACAAGCCACACTGTTTGGGCTGACGTTCTCTTTTCTTTAGGCTGCAGATTACTGGGAGGGCAAACACAAAACACCTGGAACCAGTGCCCAGCACTCTGCCTCTGCCGACAAATCCTGAGCCCCTGAAGACACGGCCTCAGCACAGCAACCTCTTCTCCTTCCCCGAGTCCCCATTCCTCAGAGGATGTGGCATGGCCCATTCCCTCCTTCTCTGCCTGCTCACAGCTCTTACTTCCTCAACGTCTCTCTGGCCCACTTGCTACCTTGCATGACGTGGCACTTTTGTGAGCCCACTCTGGGTTTCCCTGGAAGATTCCATTCTCCGTGGTCAAGAGAGGCCAGAGGTGGCTCACTTCTTTAGACAGGAGAGGCTTTCTGATGGAAGCTTTGGAATAGGATGCTTTTGATCAAGGATGCTGGTCTCGAGTTTTTTGACTGGAGAGATTTGGGGTGATGAGGCAATTGGTTTGGGGCTGGGGCATGCTTCTGCTCCAAGGGCATGGCTGATTCTGAAGGATAAAAGGTCCTGAACCCGATGCAGGGGAAGGTGAGCAGTGGGATGACTGAA